AGTGAGCTCGTTCTCAGGCGCATATAACTCATCCAGGGGGTAAGAAATGCTACGGCAAAAAGGTCTGCCAGGCTGTGTAGAAAGATTGATGGAGAGTAGTGACCTTGTTCTGGAAGCTTTAGACTGTGTGGATCCTTATTGGCTGGACGCCGCGGACTACGGAGTACCCTATGTTGTGGAGACCGAAGACAAGGACATAAAGAGTTGCAACGACGACGTTGCATTTACCGCGTCTTTAACTACCGAGCACCTAGGTTCCCATCTGAGCCTGCTAAACAGTCACTCGTGAAGCAATCAATCCTTTCTCATGGATATACTGTTGGGTGATCTCCCGTGACACAGCTCCGAACACCAATCACAATTTACCTCTTGGAACGCAATGCATTTCTGGACCGAGTTCTTCACACAGCATGCACACATTTCATTCTGAACATTTAATAATTGATCCGAGACGACATAACTACATATATGAAAAGCTCAATACAGCTTCCCTTGATTATAGGCTCAGCCTGGCATTCGGTTGTCGTGTTTATTTTTTTTTTATTTCCTGGTCGGCGTACCGACCAATCGCCGTTCAATGCCTTTCATAGCTGCCACGGCTGGGGCTCCGCGAGGAAAGCACCCCATACCTGCACGAGTAGCTGGTTGACGAGATGTGCCAGTGTAGGCACGACACCTGATTCTATCAGCACATAAGGAAGCCGTTTACAGCTTGTCATAGTACTAGAAGCAAACATAACACGTTAGCATACTCATCGTCAGTCAGTTTGCGAGCTTATGAAATAAACTTACGTTCTCAACGCCGGGAACCTCGACCTTGATACCCTTGCGCTTACGCATTTCTGTGACAATCTGACCGACCTTGGAGGTGGAGTCGAGGGGAGAGCCACCGGGCAGGACCTGCCAGTGATCAAAGACGGACTGAGGGAAGGCCTGGCCAGAGGTGGCGGCACGCAGGTCACCGTTGAAGCCGAAAGACTCCAAGACGGGCAGATAAGCCTTGATGTTGAAGAGGGGAGTACCGGGGCGCTGCTCCTCGTTGAAGACGTGACCACGACGGCGGGTAAGAACACCGTAGACACCACCCATGGCCTGCTCGGGAACCTGAATTTCGACCAGGTAGACGGGCTCGAGCAGGGCGGGCTCGGCCAGCAAGGCAGAGGCGTACAGGACACGACGAGCAGTGGGAATGATCTGACCACCGCCACGGTGAATAGCATCAGCGTGCAGGGTGACATCGAGGATGTTGAAGCGGATAGAGCGCATAGGCTCCTCGGCAACAGGACCCTCACGACTGGCCCACTGGAAACCAGAGACAACGGAGTCCTTGATTTCGTTCAGGTACTGAACAGCCTTGGTCTGGTCAACTAGCAAGTTGGCACCGGTGCCATCAGGACCGAAAGTCCAGATCTTACGGGCATCAGTGACATCCCAACCGAAGTCATCGGCCAGGACACGGGCACGAGCCTTGAAATCGTCACGGGCAGAGACCTTGCCGCTCTCAATGGCCAGAGAAAGCTCCTCATCAATGGGCTCAGCAACCATGTACAGACGGTTGTGCTTGTTGGGGGACTTGGACAGAGCCGTCATGCTGGACTTGCCCTGGACGGTCTCACGGTACTGGACGACGGGATCCGAGATGTTGAGAGGAACACCGGCGTGGTCCTCCTCGAGATCCTTCAAACAAATCTCAAGATGCAGCTCACCGGCACCGGCGACAATGTGCTCACCAGACTCGGAGGTCATGGTCAGGACGCAAGGATCGGACTTGGACAGACGCTTGAGACCTTCGACCAACTTGGGGAGATCCTGGGCGTTCTTGACCTGGACGGAACGCTGGACGACGGGGGAGACGGAGAACTTCATGACCTTGAGGTTATGGGCAGTGTCAGAAGTGGTAAGAGTACCAGACTTGAGCAAGAACTGATCGATACCAACGAGACCGACAATGTTACCAGCGGGCATGTCGTCAATGGCCTCGACCTTGCCGCCCATCATGAGAACGGTACGCTGAATAGCCTTGATGAACAGGTCCTCCTTCTTGCCGGGGACGTAGTTGGGGCCCTGAATGCGGACCTTGAGACCGGAACGGACGGTACCGGAGAAGACACGGCCGAAGGCGTAGAATCGACCCTTATCGGAGGTGGGAACCATCTTGGAGACGTACAACATGAGAGGACCCTTGGGGTCGCAGTCACGGATACCAATGGCGGCATCATCGTCAAGGGGACCCTCGTACAAAGTCTCAGCACGGTACTTCTGGGCAGTGACGGGAGAAGGAAGGTGGAGAATCATCATTTCCAGCAGGGAGTCGGCAGCGGGCAGGAAAGTTCGCATGACGACCTTGAGCAGCTGCTTGCCCTCCTTCTGGCGGTCATCAGCGTCCAACTTGAGGTTGAGCTTCTCAAGAAGAGTGGTGATCTCGTCGTTCTTGAAGTTCATGACGGCGTTGAAGATCTTAAAGATGGGGTCGAGGATGAACTGGTTGAAAGCACGCTCAAGCTGCTTGCCCTCGTACGTGCCGTTCTTGGTCCACTTCTTGGTGTGAGGGTTGAAGTAGTTGTCGCCCTAAAGAGTTGTGCTGCGTTAGTGGACTTGTTTTTGAGTTTGTTATGAGAGAGAAAGAGAGAGAAAATTTCACTTACCCAGAGACGCTCCATCATCTTGTTCTTGTCGACACCAAACTTCTTGGCATATCGGATGGCGAACTGACGGACGGTGAAGGCCCAGCCGTGCAGACCGGAACCGAAAGCAATGGTACCCTTGTCGGGATAGACCTGGACGTCACCGAGGGTCTTGTCGAGGTAGGTGGAAATGATGACGTTGACGGACTCGATAGTACGGGAGAAGGACTGGTACAGATCCTCCTTGGAGACCTGAAGCTCGAGAAGAGCACGATCGACCTTGTTGATAATGACAACAGGCTTGATACGCTCACCAAGAGCCTGACGGAGCACAGTCTCGGTCTGAACGCACACACCCTCAACGGTGTCGACGACAACGAGGGCACCGTCGGTGACACGAAGGGCAGCAGTGACTTCGGATGAGAAATCAACGTGGCCGGGCGAGTCAATCAAGTTGATCAAGAAGTCCTGGCCATCGGTCTTCTGGCCAACAATGTCTTTGATGTCCTCCGGGTCTTCAAGATGACCGTACAGGGAGATGGCGGTGGACTTGATGGTGATACCACGCTCCTGCTCGTCGGCACGAGTATCGGTTGCTCGTGCATCACCCGCCTTTGCGGTGGAAATGATACCGGCTTTGGCAAGAAGAGAGTCGGTCAGGGTAGACTTGCCGTGATCGACGTGGGCAATGACGGACATGTTACGGACATTGGTGGGCTTGTCCATAAGGGCCCGAATCTCGTCGATGGTGAAGCTAAATTGCGATAAAAAAAGTTAGCCATTGTCTGCTGCATTTTGCAAGTATTTTGATCCGTTGGAAGCTTCTCTCTCTTTTCCCATCATGACCCGGCCGTCTTGGACATTCTCACTGGGCGCCGCCCAAAGACTGCTCAGCAGCTCAACGCCGGGCGGGGTCAACCGCCAAAGCACACAAAAACGGACCATGTGCAAGACACAAAAAGATTGATCTGCCAGCCATTCCACGACCCCTGGTACCAATGCCGCCTCCAAAAAACCATGCCCGAAAAGAAGTCCTGCAGCACCATGTCCAGAAAGGCATCCGTCACGCAAGAGTGCACTTACTTGACCATTTTGGCGGTGTTATTGAGGGCGACCTCGCTATGTGATGGTGGTTTGTAGGAGGAGAAAACTCGTTGCTGAGCAAAGCGGGGTTGAAGATTTTCACCCCGCGCTCAGGTTTTGTATTTTTTTTTTTAATTTCGTTTGTTTTGCTTGGGAAGCAAAGCCTAGTTGGCCACCCAAAAGATGACTCAACCACGGAACCAAAGGGTATCAAAGTGACGAAATGGGAAAAAAAAGAGAGACAGGCGGACTGTCAATCTTTTTCAAAAAAATGGTCCCTTTGACGGGTTTGGAGGTTGGAAAGGAAAGGGAAAGGAGTGCAGACGGCGAGGGAACACGGAAAATGTGGTGCGGAAAAAACCTGCGGGTGGGCCGCCATCCTGCCATCCTGCCAGCTGGGCAACGGGTCAACAGAGCCGTCTGTGTGCTCAATGGCCCTGCCATTCATTCATTTCTAAGCTGCTGGCTAGTGCGAGCTGCGTCAATTCAATGCCGCTCGTGGCCCTGCCCGCCTTGCCCGGCGCTGTTTGCCTGCCTTCTGTCCATGTGTGCTCAGAGCATGTGTGGAAAGGCCCCTCTTGCGGCCCACCATGGCCCAGTCTTCAGAGTGCGAGTGAGGCGGGGCAAAAAATACCCCTCCAACCCTCCAAGCTTGACGCTTCTCCTTGTCCGCCAATAACCACCTGCTCATGCAAGCATGAGAGGCTGAGAGGGCAATAGCCCTCCGCCCACCACTTTGGTTGAGCTCATCTTTGTCAGTTTGAGGCGTATCAAGAAGCAATCTTTGGACACAGAGTCATTCGTACATCTGACATTATGAACACTTATTATGTTCTTAGACTGCCAGCTGATGAAGGCACTGCCCACCTACTTGAGGTACCTACCTAGGTACCTAGGTAGGTAGGTTATGTCCTTGAGCTGTCTACATCGTCCAGTACAGAGTAGCTGTGGCCAGAAGCTGAAACAAACTCCCCATGCCACACGCAGGTGTGGCTGGTGTGGCGTAGAGCTGCTTACACAATCAAGCTCAAGGTCCAGTCAGCTCTCCTCAACCCCAAGCAGCCTCATCCCAGTCACCAGCTTGAGCCTCAAAATACAACTTTCAACCAGAGCCAGCGTACAAATCATGGACACGGCCACATCTTTTTAGATAATCCTAATGACTCATACTGTACATATACATCTAGCCGTAATTACATTTCCATTTCTCTCTTCTTTCCCGCCTCAACTCTGCAACACTCACGTCCATCTGCTAGTGTTAAAGCTCTACACAGGCATGACTCACACCGATACCTAGGTAGATCCCAGGATCCTCGAGTACGCATCTTCGACTTCGCCCGCCAACTCCAACAGCGACACAATCACAATCTGATGAGTCAAATTGGGAAGCCTATCGCGATGCAACCCGATCCACTCCAGCGGTGGCGTCGCCTCGCCCATATCGCGCAGCTGCGGCGTCTCAATCACCGGTGGTTCGAGCGCCAGGTAGTCGTACTTGGACTGGGGGACATTGACTTCGGCTGTTATCTTTTGCTGCTCACCCTCGGTTTCGGGCACGCCCGTGATTTTGACTGCCGTCATCGGTAGCTGTCGACCCCATGTTTGCTCCAGCGATTTGGAGTGGTTGGCCCACATCCCGCGGATGTAGCTGATGCGAGAGTAATTCCACCCCACCTCTACTTTGCCCTCAAAGGCGCTTTTGAATATGTAGTCGATATGGTTGCTGCTTGGTTTCTGCCAGGTCTCCATCACGGCTTCGACGCGGGGGACCTTAAGAATGGTACCGCCGCGGGACCCTGTAGCTCTTTGAACTACATCTTCCACTGTCATCTCGTTGAGCATCTTCGGCGCCTCGGCGTCTCGAACCCCTGCCAGACCAATCCGTAGTTGACCAAGAGTCATTCGTAGAATGCTGTGTATTTTGCGTTGTTCAATACTGGCTGCAAATCGGGCATACGCGTTGAGAGCCTCCATCTTGAATACTTGATGATCGGAAAAGGTACTAGGGAAAACGCCCAGGTTCAACGCCTTCAGAGTCACCACCACATCAGTATCAAGAGAGATTGGTGATTTGGACAGCGTATCATCCACCGGAAGCTTTGGCACTGCTGGAGGCATCTGCAATATCGTGCGTGAGCTGATAGATTTGCGCTTCATAAACTTTTCAATCTCTCGCACTGACGACTCGAAGTTCTCTCTCCTCTCTTCAATGAGTTTCTGCAAAGCTTGATAAAGCGCAACAGTCTGTGCTATTGATGTTGTAGTCCCAAACACCTGCACGGCTTCGCCGTCGAAGATCGCAACCAGTCGGTCCCCATTTCTGTCACCGCCATCTCGGACATTGTACATCAGGAACTCGAGAGATGTAATGTCTGCTACCAAAAATGCCTGGTAGTCAAATGCTGCCTTGACGCGCAATGCATTAAATGCCAGTGATGCTTGCACAAGTGGCGTCTCGTTGAGAGCTTCCTCCCGCTGTGGCCACTGGATCGATGATCGCAGTCTAAAGTCTTGTAAGGCCACGAAGCCACTCAGACGGCCAGTACAATCTACCCCAACCTTTCTGAAGCCCAGACAAAGGTTCTGCTCCCAGTCGGACGTTTTCTTGGACGACACCCAGAACTCATTGATCTGAAATACTGACTTGCCAATCGACTGCCCCAGGTCCACGCAGACGTCAAGCGCTGCGATGGATATTGTTGCTGTCCAGGGGAACGCAGCTGTTGCGGCAACCTCTTGATACCGTTGTACCAAGTGGGCCTGAGAGGTTTCTGTTGGCATCTTGGGGACCTGCACCGCGGACTTTTGTCGTAGCTCCTCTGGATACCAGATTTCACGAAACAGCAGAAAATCTTGTACTTGCTTTGCATTGACTGAGACTTTCATTGGGCTGACATTTAGAATGGCTGATACACCACTTGTGCCGCTGAAATGCTTGCTGTTCATGAAAGATATGGCGACCGAATCAAGCTCGAAGCTGGCCGTAGAATCCCGAGAGTAGACATGCTGCACTGATGCTTGGGGCTTGGCAATCACACCTGATATGGCAAAAAAATTGCCTTGTTCTTGGGAAGTAACGGTAATGAGCGTAAAGTATATACTGTCAAAACAAGCTGTAGCGGACACCCTAGCTATGGGCTGACAGCTTAGTGAAAACTCTTGTCGGCAGATTCGCAGGCCTAGATTAAGCTTCAAGCGTCCAAGTACGGCACTTGGATCGGCGGTAAGAAAGTTATCTTCATCTCCAGATTTGGTCTGCTTCAGCTTCGGTCGTTCCAACTGTTCTGGTTTCTGCTCCGTACCAGCATTAGCATCGTTGTGGCTGACAACTTTCTTTACTGAAGACAAAATGTCGAGAACCAATGGAACAACCGAGGGATACAGGATATTGCTTGACGCGTTGATTTTAATTTCTCCGTAAAGAGACGGATCCTCTTTGCCATTATCGCGATACTCCGCCTTCCATGCCAAGCCCGGACTGCGTAATACAGCCCCTGAGCCTGAATCATCTGCACTGAACTGGCCGTATTTGCCTGCGAGGGATGGCTGACTATACTTTGATTCCGGCACAGCACTGGCAGCATTCCTTTTGGTTGATACATACACAACAGCACCTGCAAAGTCTGCGTCAACAAGCAACTTTTCCAGTCTTTTGTTTCCGAACATGCGACGTTGCCCTTGTCGTGTGGGTGTCAAGTCTTCCGTCTTTTTAGACGCTAGGGATTCGACAGCTGCTGGGCCTTCAATCGTCCATTGTGAGGAAGCCGCTTGTGCGTTTTTCATGGACAATGAAATAGATTGTATGAGGTTTGCAGCGGGCACAATGAATCCTGAAGTCAATCGAAGATCAAGTGAGTCACCCACGGCCTGAAATGCCATACGGCGGGCATCCGCGGTTGATACATACGCCACGTTGAACATGACTTCGGGCAAAAGAGCAGAATGTAGAGATCGGATAGTCTTGTCCTGACCAGGGGGAACGGTCTGCAGGAGGAAATCCTCAATTGTCAGTCTTGCAGATTTTCGAGTCCGGGTGCCAAACTCGATCAATTTTATCGACAAGACTAGATCCTCCTTGGTATAGTCTGGATCAACAGTTCCATCTGCCACGTCCCAGCAGAAACAAATATTTCGCAGCTCAAAGCGGTATGTAATGGAAGATAGAACAGACTCGAAAATATCTGTTTCTTCTCCCCAATCTTGTTCCTCGTCGTTTATTCTAATCTTTGGTCTGGATTGCCTCAGCTTGCGAAGATATTCCAGTTCACGGGACGTGTCCAGATCTCTAATCTTGGATCCCATATAGCCAACAACATCAACAATGGTCGAAACAGTTTCCGGGGAAAGGTTCAGAGTTAAGTCATCGTTGCGGAAGTGTAAAGACCAGTCTTCCCTTCCATCATCATCGCGCTGAGAGCTTGCAGAGATATTGATGCCAGTTGTCAGATTGCCGCAGGACCGTAGCGAATTCTCTTTTCCACGACGGATGTCAAGACTAATTTGGCGCAAGTTGACATATAAATCAGGGTACTTGAGAGGTGAGGAATTTGGATCTTGTTGGTTTGAGGCCTGCAGAGTGACTTTTTCTAACGCAAATAAGATCTGGGCCATGGGTTCTTCCACGGTCTTGAGATGCGTCCTGGCCAAAATCCGTAGTCCAGCCAAAGCAAAGTGAATATTATAGACTAAGTTGGGAGTCGATGTAGGCAATGAAGAAGCGTTTTTGGCCTCCAACTCTCTTTGCGTGCCAAATGTCTCACCTACGTGCCCTTGGATTATTTTGACTTGTTGCTGCGCTTCCTCTATAGCTCCAGATATCTGAGGTCGATTCAGTGCGGCTAGTAAGCTGTATATAGCCGATGCGTCCAGGCGAATGACTTCCATAGATGCTAACACACTTATAAGATTTTCTGTCGATTGCATATTACTCGTGATTCGTCCATTTGCCGGTGGAATCTCTAGCAAGGAAATGCTCCGCGGCTCATTCTTCACATTGATTTGCATCTCGTGAGAGTTCTCCTTGATATCAAAATCGAAAACGATGTCCTTTCCAAAGTTGGCAGCGCATGATGCTCTCGCCACAGACCCAGTAATTTTATATGTTAAGGACTGTAACAGCGGAATGTTGATGATATATCCATCCAGGAACATGGCAACATTGAGCACAAAGGTGGAAATGCGCTGCTTGATCTTATCGCGCTTCTTCTGACCTTCTGGAGACGATGGAATGAGCTCTTTAAGCCTATAGACTTGAGCCGCTTCATCCCTGATGAGCAAGTCTAGCACTTCTAAAAGACCGATGGGGTCGTCCTTGACCCGTAAAGCCAAATTTGGAGAACTCGCCGATACTTTGACGACATGGGCGTCAATATCTGTTGTTTTGTGAAGTTCATGCGCAATGAATACGCTTGGCTTCTGGATTTGCAAAACACCAAGAATTTTCCCATGGCTTTGCAGCTTCGACGTAACCGCGTTGGAGGTTAGCATGACATTTGCAACACTCAGCTCTTCACCCGCGTGGCATAGGAGTATTGACGTTTTAAGTCCATCACCGATGGATTTGGCTGTCAAGTTGACAGTTTCTGCCTCCATGGACCCTTTCACAACTTCAAACACTACATGATATGCCGCGGATGACTGGGCAATTTTTCGTTTTGGTTGCTTGTTCGACATGGTCTTCTCTGATGGCTGTGGCTGAGCCTTGGTGTAAAGGCGCAAGACATCATCCGCCAATTCGCAAAGCTCCCAGTTCAAATGAATCGCAGCCTCTGCGCAACAAAGATTTAAAATCGTCAACGAGCCATCAAAGTCTTTCATTTCGGAAAGAACATCCCGTTGACCTGGCGGTCGTCTGTCCACTCTTAAAGCAATGTCGAGAAATCCAATGTTGTTCTGCTTGGGGCCAGGATCTAACACAAACTGAAGCTCATCCAATCGACAGGCTCCAAGGAGAGGGTACTCTTGTGATGGCTCTTCTTTATCATCGATGGCCTTCCCAAATATTTTCTTCATCAAAACGGCATTCCTGGGATCATGTAAATCCCAGGATCGCCATTTCTGAAATGAAGAGACAACACGGTCGGCAACATCTGGGTGTGCCTCTGGAGGGTTGTCTCTGCACCTATCGATTAGCTCCCTCCTCTGGTTTTGACTCAAGGTTGCCCATATTTGTCGCAGTCGCATCATCAGTTTCCATGAATCAACTGTCCTCATGTGCTCATGGGTAGATCGAAGCACCGCAGAGGGCCGAATGAGGAACGACGGGTCATTCGTGGCATGACCATCCTCTAACAGCTGGGAGACCAAGTACTTGATTCGGTTGTCGTTGCGAGAGGCGGTTTCGGATAAAAAATTACCCAATTCAGAGGCGATGCTGCCTGTACGGTGAATCAATGACGCCAGATATTCGACCTTGCCAGACGCTGTGCTGCCTACAATGGAACCAATGTCGGCATCGAAGTAGGTAATGTCCTTTGCGCCAAGTGACACACTAACATCATCGATATTGACCATGATCGCTGCCTGGGGTGTTTCAATCGAAGACAGCCGTTCGGACGCCGATATCTCTGCAGATTTTAAACGGAAATGAAGTGAAGTTCGAGAAGTCACATTATCTCCGGTACGGTCCTTAACAGTGCGAGTAATTAGCAATGTTTTGGATATCCGAATGTCATACTGGTCTTGCTCTTCTTGGGAGGCGTCTGGTGAGTCCAGCATAGATGAGTTTAGGAATCGAATATTCGCTTTTGGCAATTTGACCAAGATATCCTGCATGGAGCCTGTGATGTGTCTCTGCTTCTTTTCAGAAAAGATGTCCCCAATGGTGCTGGTTTGGAGTGAATCGAGAATGTCATCGGGCTCACTTGGTTGAAAGGCTGACAAAAGAGAGTTGACGTAGCGCACGGCTTCTGGGCTGATAAAGGCGGTAATACCAGTGGTAAATTCAATCATGGTGCTTGCTTGCGCGTGATCATCGCTGAGGTTGTTTGGATCTAAATCATCAAGAGAACCGCCCGTCCCAAAAAAGTCGTCGTCGGCCTCGTCTTCGAGCTCCTCAAAGGTTGCCTCGCGACCATCTGGACGGACGCTTTCCAGCGGAAAGTGTGGAGCAAAGTATTGACTGGAGAATGCAACAGATGAGTGCTCGGTATGTTCCTTTTGCTGCCAGTCTTGAATTGGCTGTTGAATGGCGGCAAGCCGCGGGCCTTGGGATAGGATACTTCCTCTCTGTTCTGGTACGCGCCTCTCCTTTTCTGTGCCGCTGGGCTGAGTGGACAGTGCGGCCTGTCTTGATCTGGCACGACTACGCAGTTCAGTCCTTGTACTACGAAGACTGGTATGACTTGAGCTGGAGGATAAAAAGGAGCTTTGCCGTCGCAAACGACCGGAAAAGCGAGACGTCCCGATACTTCGATAGGATGCGTTGTCATCAACATCATCCGCTTCTGTGAGAGGGAAAGCTGGCGGCGGCACGCATTGTGCTGGGGGATCAAACGGCTCCGGCACAAAGTCTGGGTCGACTGGCTTTCGGAGGAGAAAAGGCGTCCTTCCTGTGCGTTGATCCTCCCGCCGTATCAAGTCTTGCTGCATCTTCAGCTCTCGCTGGAAGTGAAACTTGCGCCCAATAGAAGCCACTTGAACATCTGTCTTCAAGTAAGCCGCAGTGTCTACTGGGTGGTTACGTCGAGAAGTATGCCTTGACGCAGATTCCGCATTCACACAAGAAATTTCGATATTGGGTATGCCGATGTTCGCACGCTTCGAATAGTGAGTGCCGCCCCAGTCATTGCTTCGTACTTGGATAGATCCTGTAGACAGAAGAAAGGCTGCCTCATCCACATGTAACCACAAGCGAACCGAAGCAACGTCCACTCTCACAAAAGTGACATCGTGAAAGACAAGAGAAGAGTATGGAACAAGGGCATTCTCAACATCGTCGAACATAAATCCAAACGCCACACCGCCTTTGGCCAATGAAGTCAGGAAGTCGGCGGTGCATTCGCCATCCACCATTCCGACTGAAACATCCCAATTGCACAAATACGTGGGTTCGGAAGGAGGTAGGCCGAACGTACGGTGGCCAAAAACACGAACTCCGTCAACGAAAAGCTGCGTGTCGGTGTAGGAAGAGTTTGGGCTACCGGGTGAGAGGGCTGGATATCCCAACGACAGGCTAAGCGGACTCAGCAGGAGCTCCAAGTCCATATAGTAATTCGTGAATCGAAGATCAACGGATAAGTTAGCCAGCTCGCATTGCACATAACGGCTGGCAGAATACAGATTAACAGGCAGCAAAATGCGCGGGTCATCGACTCTGACAGACAAGATGACATCGAGGTCGTTTGACTTTTTGTTTGGAGGTCGGTGTAGAGCGTCAGTGTTGGATTTTTGAGGCTCGAGTTGAAGGTGTGCTTGGTATTCGTCAAGCGTCCGGAAGTGGACAAAGTCCCCGAAATAGTTTTCCTTCAACAGTATTACATATCTTATGATGAATCCGTAGAGATATGCATATGGAGATTGTCCATGGACGTTTAATATCAGAGTATCTGTGTTTGCAACTGATGTAGTGGCATTATATTCGTAGCTACCGGTTACAGCAAGACTCTCCCCATGGCCAAGCTCATTGGAGCTTAAAAAGGCAGCTTGGGTGTTAGACTGGGGGGTGTGTAGTTTCAAATCAAAAGTGTCGGCACGAATGTCAAACGGAATAGAATTCCTGCTTGGTCTGAACTTGTCAAGGGGTATCGATGTTTCCGCTTTTAAAATTGGGCTAGATAAAATTAAATAGGTGTTGTCGTCATGCGCGGTGGCTTTGTCGATGATATTTTCGTCATTAACATTAAGATATAATTGCAAGTTGTTCAGGTTTAATTTCAAGTGGTATATGTACGGCGTAAATACGAGATATTCGGATGGAGGGCCACTGGCCCAGTCGTCGACCAAGTCGGTTAAAAGGAAGATGTGATCCCGTAGGAGATAAAGCTTCATGTCGTCGCAGGTTATATTGAAGGACCAGTTGCGTAGGGTGTTCCATGTCAGAGGGTTAGACAGGTCACAAGAAACGCGCTGTGGCCCCGATTTCCACATCAAGTCGTGGTTGACACTGCTTCTCAGCTCGGTGCTCGGCAGGTCAATGTCCAAACGATTCTGGTAGCCCGTTGAGCGTCCTAGCATATCCATCGAATAGGACACCGTGGAATTCGACGGAACCTTGATCTCTAGCCAACCGGCAGGTCGGGCTGGTTGAGCATCCCCCTTGCTGCTCTTTTTGTTCCGATTGCGTCTCTTCTTGCCAGTAACGCCCTGTCGCCCGATTGGAGGTTCTTTTCCAAACCAACGCCAATTCTTGGACTCCTCTCTAGTGGGGATTCTTAGAGTCACGGCGTCTTCTAGTTCAACAAAAAGGTTGAACTGTGTTGCGACCCTCCACGAACCGGGAGCCAATGGCACAGCAGCCGTGCTATTCTTACACAGCGTTGGATAAAAGACTCGCTGTAAGTCTGCTCTTTGTCGATCAGCCCAAGGGCCGTAATTGACTGTTCCACCTTTGACTGACAAGGACATTCCCCACGCCGGAGGCTCAGTTCCGTTAATGCTCGTGTGGAAACTCGAGCTGCTGTGTCTGCGAGCGTTGGCGGTGACTTTGGATACGGAATCCCAATAAACCGTGAGCGCAGCTGAAGGAGAGTCAAGAATTGTATTGACAGCACCATATTCGACAGAAGACCACCTTGACTTATCATCTTGATACCTATCGTCCAGATACCTTGATAAGCCTTGCCAGTGACCTGAGCCAGGTATTTGAGACACACCTGTGCCCATTGCGGCTCTTGAATCGGCGGAAAAAGATTCTACAGAGCGACGAAAATATGGTACCATATTTCGAAGAGAGTTGAAGACTTTCCGCCAACGATTTCGGAAGAAGGATCGTTGTGCGGGTGTTTCCAAGCTCGAGGTGTCCTCTCGTCGCCTGGTGGCTCGGGCCACCTGGTCCTCTTTGAATTCATCGTTCTCTCGCATTTCGATGACGGGGTGGTCAAATTCTATTTTGAAAAGTTGACGGTACGGATCAACCGTATTCGTATGCCCTGCGTCTACAATTGTCGAAGCCGAGTTCGCCTTCAAGACTAGGATTGCCTTGGTATTGTCATTGCCAACGACCAGGGCAGGTTTCTGAAATTCCACGTGAATCGGGAGCAGCTGAAGCATTGGTGGTAGGGAATTGCTGGCGTCATTCCCATCTGCAGTCTCACTGGGGCTCTGGGAAGCGGTAGATGAGCGCTCCGGGGGCGAGGACGGAGGAGGCTGGTTGGCTTTCTCCGAAAGTTGTGCTTGGGCTGTTGCATCGACCGCGAGCTTATTCTTCTCTGCGGAGCCATTTTGGTAGCCCCTTCGAGCCGTAAGGGCAACTTCTTCCGTTGCGTTAGAAATGCCGCTGGATTTCGAGGCGGAAGGGTCGTCATTGAGCAAGCCATTGAGAAGGTCATTGTATGCCGGGCTCCGGTTATACACAAACCACTCTACACCGACCAGTCTGGCATGGATGCGACACGGCAAATTAGAATTCTTTTGGCTGTCCGATACCGAAGAACCATCAGAGCAATTAGAGAGGTTTATGTCGGCGTCTCGTACTCGGCGTAGCCAATATCTCCAAGTGATGTCTCCGTGCTGGACGAGGAAAGTTTCGTTGGATCCGTGGTAGCGTAAGCCGGTGAAGAATATGCGGCCTCCGAGAAGAGAGATTTGGATCGCTTTGATGTCAATATAGACTCTGTATGTGTGCCATGTATATGTGCGAATGGCATACGACACGGCGGAAGCAAAGAGTCGGTTGAAGTAAAGCAGGAAGAAGACGGTTAGCAGGCCGCAAATGATGAAGAAGACGAGAAACTCGCTGGAAAGGGGACGACTGGTTAGTTATGCAGCTTTCGAGAAAGTCAAAGGACGTATTAGCGCAGCGTACAAATTGAAGCCCAGGCGAGCATCTCGAGCCTCCAGCATCACGTCGACGGGCGTCATTGTATCGCGTCGGAGGTCGCTTTGACAGCCCTCCTGGCCGGAGTGAACTCAACAAACATGTCCAGAGAGAACAGCAGGGGCAGCGACGCGCATTGGATGAGAACTTGAGGGTCGGTGTTTGGAAGCCCCCGTCGCGACAGGTAATTGGGACCTATTGCTTCCTGGTGGACGTTCAATGTTGTGACATGGCGCGACAATGGATTGGCACAAGTCGTTGAGCTGTGAATTGTGAATGCATAATATTGCATGTGCAGCTAATTAAGCTGCAGCTTGTCTGTCCAGGTGGGCCCAGTCCAGATGTTTTCGCAAGGCACCCAACACTAGACAACCAGACGAAACATTGAAGCAGGTCAATACTACAGTGCTTCGTAAGTACTCCGTACATACTACATGTACCGGACTAGCCGCTAATGGGTTATTTTAGTGGCCCGCCTGTCGTTTGCCCGCCTGTGCAAATGGTCAATATAGCAGCCCCATCTCTCTATGCCGGCCTGTGACAGCTTGGTCGTGAATAGCCAACCAGCGCGAAGCCAATGCTCCATCCATCCACCGACTATGCACGTCTACGTCGTCACACACGCGGCTTCGCAGCTTCGTCCTCTCAAGTGCTCCATGTCCTTTGTCCACCGTCGCCATTCACGCCCTCCGTACCAAAACCGCCGTCATCGCGCCGGTCAGCCAGTATCGGTTGCTTTTGCCGGAATATTTTCCGCGCTTCCAGCCCTACATGGTCGCAGTGCTTGCTCATTAGCCTCGACGTGTTTTACCTTCTTTCCTTGCTCAGTCATGACCTAGCTTTTCTGCGGCTTCACAAGCTACGTCTCGGCAGCCGTTTCCGTTGCCGCCATGTCTGTTACTACGGCTAGCATCGCCTCTGATGGAGGCACAGGAGCCAAATTTACATATGCTACCACGGTGGTCGCCGGCGTTGCCTCGTTTGCAGCAACGTTACTCTCCGTCGTGTATGTTTTGTCCCAGATGATGCAAAAACGCACACATGCCGTGTCAAGCTGACAGTCCCGGTCCCTTAGCTCAATATGGCTTCAGGCAAAAAACTACCGGAAGCCCCTGCTTCAGCGCTACGTTGTTCGAATCCTGCTCATGGTTCCCATCTATTCGATTGCGTCTTTCACAAGCATGGTGTCGCTTACCGCGGCTGCATTTATCGACCCTGTCCGAGACATATACGAAGCCTTCACCATTTACACTTTCTTCCAGCTCCTCATCAACTACCTGGGCGGAGAAAGAGCCTTGATTATTATGGCGCATGGTCGTGCCCCCGTCCAGCACCTCTGGCCGATGAACCACATTCTACGCAAAGTTGACATATCAGATCCGCATACATTTCTGTCCATCAAACGGGGAATCCTGCAATATGCGTGGCTCAAGCCCATTCTAGCCATTGCAGCCATCGTCATGAAAGCGACGGGCACCTATCAAGAGGGATACATTGGTGCCAAGTCTGGTTACTTTTGGAGTGGAATCATCTACAATATCAGCGTGACTGTGAGCTTGTACTCGCTTGGTTTGTTCTGGGTCTGCATGCACCGTGACTTGACACCTTTCCGCCCTGTCCCAAAGTTCCTCTGCATCAAACTCATCATTTTTGCGTCGTACTGGCAAGGCTTCTTCTTGTCCATTCTCGTTTGGCTCGGCGCTATTCCAGACAACGTCCAGGGATATACGAGGGACAATCTTGCCGCTGCTATCCAAGATGCACTGATTTGTGTGGAGATGCCGGCGTTTGCAGTAGCCCACTGGTACGCCTTCTCATGGCATGACTTCGCCGATAACAATATCCTATCTGCGCGCATGCCCTTGCACCACGCGCTCAAGGACTCCTTTGGCGTCAAGGATCTCATTGAGGACTCCAAGGAGACATTCCGGGGCAATAACTACGGCTACCGGGCATTCGACTCTGGAGACAAGGTCATGGCCCATGAAGACTCCCAGTCACGCCTCGCAAGGATCGACGCGGGCATGAGATATGAGCGTGGAGGGAAAGCAAAATACTGGTTGCCCAGACCAGGCGAAGTCAGCGCCACCTCTCCGCTGCTCGGCGGGCCCAGTTCAAGTAGAACTGGTGATACATTATTTGAACAGCAGCATGGGACCTTTGATGAGCCCGAGTTGGATGAGGATGAAGAGCACTTGTATAATTCTGCAAGACAGTTGAAATACGGCGATTGGAATGTGCGTACATGCTTCATCCTCACATGGTAGAGCAAGCTAACAAATTCCAGTACCCGGTCATCACAGCCAGCGAGCCACTGGCTGAGCGATACCGATCGTCGATGAGCAGCCACAACGGTACATCACCAGCCTGGTCAACCAGGTCAGCACGACCACCACCGCCACAAGCAGCAACCTCGAGTTCAGGTTCATCCCGACAATCATCATCCCAGCAAATAGAAGAGCCACAGCCTGTAGTCGTCGTCAAAAAGAAGAAGAAGACGAAGAAAGCAGTGAAGCATCCGGAACCAGATCCAGCAGGCCTGGGTCTCGGAAAAGGCGCTCCTGCCCATTCCCCTGATCCCACAAGCACAACTGAAGCAAGTGCAAGTGTGCAGAAACCTGAACCGGAAGAAGCTGGACAAAGGGGAGATTCAGCAGCCACGGATGAGGGACAGCAAACGCATAGATACCACGTGGATGGTAGCGACGAGTTTCGTAACGTGTGGGAATAAGCGATCTAGATTGCATCTTGCCTCATGTACATGTTCGGGGTGTATACTAAGATGCTTCTGCATAGCGAGGAGTTTTGATAAATTGCCATGACAATTGGTTTCAATTGTGTCAATTGGGCTTATGCCACGGCCATGTGTCATTTTCTGTTGTCTGCGCAAATATTTTCTCCCTGTACTTGCTCTGCTCACCACGCCACGTTGAAATGGGCTATCATCTGGGGCAGGAATCTTCACCCACTTCCCGAGTCTTTGCCCAGCATGTTCGTCATATTCATGTATGTCGCGATAGACGAATACCTTTCGCGAGATAAGTATTGCCTCCAGTCCCCCACCATGTTTGTGACGTCTTCTGAGACCGTTCCCCTACCAGGATCTCACAAAATGTTCATCGATGCTCCTATGCCTGAGCTCTCAACCCACCTGCGCAATGCCAGTCTCGCGTCTTCAGGATCTCTTTCCCCCATGGTAGGCGGCAAATCCCCCGTCGTCCAATTCAGCGGCTCTGGGCCCAACTTAAACTCCAACGACCCGCCAGACCGAAACACTTGCTCCCGATCCACCCAGCTCTGATTATACGCTGTCTTGTTCAGCGTCACCTTGCGCACGTAAATGGCGTCTCCCCACCGGTGCTTGTAATGCGGAGCTTCCTCGCCGCGTTGCCGCCGAGGTGGATGGTCAGGTCTGCGAACCCAGGCGATCCGATGAGGAACAAGGGCGTGCCCGTCATGGGATACAGGCTGATCATGTTCCCTGCGTCGCTGTTTCCCGGCAGTCCATCCGGCTTCGGGACGTAGTACGACTTGGCGATGTGCCTGCTTCGCCTGACGGCCAGGTCCTGGCGGCCCGCGTAGTGGTACAGGTAGGGGGTTGTGGAGCTCGGCTCGTTGCCCGGGTTGAAGATGGTGTTTCCAAACGGCCTGTTGCCCGGGTACGCGCCTGGCTCAAAGGTCTTTTCCAGCCGCTGGACGAAGCGTTCGGGCCCGCCCATGTACTCTATCACGGTGCGCAGGTCGTGGTGCGCGTTGAAGGAGCACTCCCACGGCAGCGCCTGGTAGTAGGCGTCGCGCCAGTAGCAGCCGCCGCATGAGAGGGTATCCTGGGGCAGGAAGCCGCTGGTATTGCGGGGGGGCGAGGAAGCTAGTGAAGTTGAGGGCCGTCATGTTTGTGTTCCAGTGGTTGCGCCAGTTGCGCGAGCGGTTGAGGTTCGCGGCGAAGGTGTCCTTGCCGAGACCGGCGGCCACGACGGCGAGGGAGAAGTCGTTCATCGAACTGAAGGACTTGTTGTTAGGATATTACGACTTCAACAAGAGGGGATCTTGATGGGGTAACTACTATTTCGACGGCCCGGCTGATGGATCGCCCAAACCTGGGTGTGATGTAGCCGAGTTGGCTGTAATCAGGTAGGGCGCCTTTGCTCTCGGCCGTGCTGCCGGTTGGATCTCTGAGATCATGGTTGTTTAGGGGCTCGGTATTTGCATTCTTGAGGAGCGCCTTGTAGGCATCTTCCCAGTTGATGCCTCGGTCGGGCGATGTGCCAGCTACCCCCTTGACGTACGCGTCGGCGAGGACGTTGTCCGCATTCGTGCCGCCTTGCACGGCGCCATTGGAGAAGGATGAGCGGCCGTCTGGAAGCCAGCCCGTGTGACGATACGTGTCAATCAGAGAGCGTATGAATTCCGCGTAGTAATCTTCCTGGAGAATATGGAAGAGCGCCGTGGTACACCTGTGCTGTTGAACGTGTGAGCGAATCCACGAGACGGCAACGACAATCGGGATACAGAGCTCACAGTGTCCCAGAGGGTAAAGATGTCGTCGTCATACGGCTCGCTGCTGTTCCACCCGGGATTCTCGCCAGTCTTTCTCGTCGGCAGCAGGTACATGAAATACATGGCCGTATACAACTGCGTCAGCTTGGTGACGTTGGTGTCTGGGGTGGTGATCCTTCCCAAGCCGTTGACGTTCCACTCGTCTCGTGTCTTCTTTCCAAGTTCCCAGCCGTCTGACCCCTGGGGGAATCCCCTCGTCGACATTACCGCACGCTTGGTCCGTGGAGATGAAGGACACGCCGACGCGAGAGACGACGCTGGTGTGGTTGAAGGTGAATAAGGCGCCGAGACGGGCGGTGTCGGACTGGTATGATGCAGATTTGTTGGAGAGTTCGACAATATGGTCGGTAGTCTTGTCCTTTCCCAGAAACTTCTTGTATGTGAAAGGACGGTTGAAGTGGCCGCAAAAGTAGACGGTCCAGGGAGCAGCTCTGTTCCAACCCTGAGATGTGACGGTGTTAGTTGGTTGGCGTACGGATCCCCGACGATGCGTACGTTGTCATAGGCTCCCCAGCCCATGTATTTCAGGTCTGTATTTCCTTTTTTGGTCGAGACTATGCTAATGTTTCCCGCCACAAAATGCTGCTCCAGACCCTGGCCTCTATATGACGACAAGACATGCGATGCATCGACGAGCACGTTCTTTGGCGCCGTCGTGTCGGGAAACCCGTACCGGTATAGACCGGCCTTTCTGGACGCATAAAGCTCGACGAAGGTGCCGGAGCCCAAAGTCGGCCTGTAGTATCTCACCTCGGTCAAGTCCTTTTCAGCGCGTGTATCATTCATGGCGTCGCTCAAAGGGTTCGTGACGGCCCCGACAACCGGCATCTGTGACACCACGCCGTACTTCGGCGCGCCGCCGGTGCCGCATTCATGGAGCATACTGAACCTGTGAAATTACCGGCGGGCTGGTATCCAGAGTAAGAGTCGCTGCCGGTGTATAGATCCGGTCCGAGTTTCACCATGCCGAATGGCCACGAGGCTCCTGGGAATGTGTTGCCGCCTCCGGTTGACCCGGTCTGGAGTTTCCATTAGACAAAAGCTCTTGGCTTAACTTGAGGAACAACTTACGTCCGCCAAGGCATATTTTGCCAAGTTAGCTGCACCTGCGACTGTAGTGACTGCATATAACAGCCACCAGATGGCCACGTACGGAGTATGTCATGGCGCCGTTCTACCGCGAAGCAAACCCCGCAACATACGAGCACATGAGGCAGTATTTACTATTTACTTCGCGTGACCAAAACTTGCGACAGGCGTCGACTATCCTTGGCCAATTCGTCATTTGCCGGGGGCTATCAGCACGAATGGTCAGCGCACGTGGGGGCCGGTAATGTAGCTGGACAGGAAGTAGAAATTGGAGACGCCAAGTTCGGAGGAGAATAAGGTAGATTCGACGGTATGTAAACCACGTGAATAAATAGTTGCGTTGGAATCGGCTCCAAAGGGGGGGGGGTTTACATCCATGCGATGGATGGCGATGCCTTGCAGGTGTGATGAACGAATTCATCCTGAGCGCAACTAGGTCAGAGTTTTTGATTCACTTTTCAGTCCTTGGGCCCGGATTGCATAGGCGTACTCAAACTGATCTAATTACCTTGGCCACTAAGAGTTGCTTGTCTGGCCACTTCATTTCCGAGTACGACTGAAAACGAAGGATGTCTCTGGATAGCAAAAGTTTTCATCGACTAAGCAGCGATACTCAGAGGACGCCGATGCAACTGCAAATCGAGCCAAACACCTACGAATCAGTTGAGGATCTATTCCGTACTGGGGTATTTGCTCCCGCGACATGACAAAGTACATGCCGTCTATATATAGTTGGTGGTGTCGGAGAAACACCATGGACAGCACGGGGAGGCATAACGAAATATGTCTATCAAAGCTGTATTCACGCGCCCCAGGTACCTAGTACGCGCTCAACTGCGAGAATGCGGGTAGCTGCTCCGGTACCACTACCTGCCGCAGCGGCGGGAAGATTTGCACAATCTTGGGTACACCGGCCAATCAAAATACAACATTCACCTGTGCAATTTATTTCTAACTTATCTGGGATCCTTAGGGTCTCAATCCGGGCTGCTGAAACCATAAATGGAGTTGGAGGAACAAGGATGCCGCACCGGAAATGACAATATGAACTGTACATGCATTCCTGGCAGGGTATTGCGTGCAGACCATAGAGTTGCTCTGTGGAGTGTAGAGCTTGTTACTTGTAAGGATGCGTGAATACTCACGAGGACTGTATAAGACGTAAGAGAAGGCCATGTAGAGAGAGCAGTAAAAGCATCAATTCCAGGTTGATGGTCAACACGTCACGCACGACAATCACTTGTAAAATCAGCTTTATATCATCATGAGGTCTCGAAGTAGAGAATATATGCAACACAGATGACTGTCCCTCCTGGCATTTCAATATATGCCAGTGACACTGAGGCAAGGCATTAGGGGAAATCAATTGCCAGGTACAGCCAAGCCGGATAGACTCCAACCTTGTGTATTCATGGCGTTGTTTCGAGTCGTTTCCAAGTTATCGAAACAAAAGACACGCCTGAAGATAATCCACATATACGTAGTGATAAGTGCGGTGGAAGTGAGAGATTTCGTAGTAGATGGGGGGCTGGGGGGTCGTCTAATAGCGCAAGAGATGTTCTAGTTATGAAGTCTAAAGCACTTAATATAACCTGCAACATGTAACAGAGCTTTAAGAGTCGAGTATGAACGCTAAGCATATAGTCGGAAGAAAGCATCTACAATCCAACCCCTGTAAGTTTAGCCATGAGTGACCTGACAAGGAAGTAAGTGGGGTTTATTTACAGGGACTTTTCTGCTAACAGAAGCTCTTTTTATTTATATTAATGGCTGTTAACTATAATATAGGTTAAATGACAGGGGAGTAGTGGGTCTTGTAAGAGTAACCTTTATTGATAAGAGATTTTATCGCGTTATCAGGTACTTTAAACCCCCATATGCTCTCTGTAATAGTGATATCTCATTGGCTTGAACCCCCCTTGCTATGTCACACCTGGCTAAACATTCAGGGTCTGAATTGTAAGCTTAGTTACTATATCGCAAATAATATCCATTTTATAACCCCCCCACTTTTTCCTTTTCGGAGAGGAATCACTTCAACCCTAACCCTAACTCATTATGCCAAGAAGCACACTTATAGCAACTCTACATATCCTATTAATTATACTTTATAAGCATTTATTAACTCACAATTCAATTGAAATACAGCTTCTAAGAATTTTCTACATAATTATAATTATAATTATTAGATATCTTGCTTGACAAGTACTCTCCTAGTCCTCTAGGGAGTGCATGTAGTGACACCAAGCTTCAAGACGACGGACCCACTTCCGACCCAAAATGTGGGCCTGACAGAAAGCAGGCGGTGTGAGAAATTTTGTCGGTCAACAAAGGCAGAATCCGTCCCGCCATCATCCATCACCATTACATCCCACTACAGAACGCGTTCAAACAGTTGCCAATCGACTCATCTCAGAGGCGTTCTGACGGAGATACCGACTACTAAGTACTAGGAAAGGCGTTTCCGCCGTGAATCTCGCATCCCAAAAGCGTGTGACGGTGGGAAACGCGCCCAACAGCCCGCAATGGGACGCAGACCGAACCCTCTGATCCTCGAGTACTTCGAGCGCGGGCCCAAGTTGAACGACAACAGCAATCGATACCCTCATACGTGCAAGCAATGCGGAGAGAACTTTCCCAAGGGTCGAATCGACAGTTTGACAACACACATTACCAAACGATGCCCCGCCATTTCCGACTCGGAACGCATGCGAGCCTGCCTCGAACTCCATGGCATCACACAAGCGAGAACGGCTGCCGAGCGACACCAACAAGTGCAGGCGGCCCAGGCGGCCCAGGCTGCAGCTCAAGCTAATGGACAGCAGACATCTCCGAGTGCGCTGCCTCAGGGATGGAGTGCGCTTGAGACTCTGGCAGAGGCTTCGCGCCAGGTAGACTTGAATGAGAATAGCCGCGGAAGTAAACCCCCGGCGGCGCAGCCACAAGCAAACGGCGCCCAAAATGAAGAGCGATTCGAACTACAGGAACAGTATACTCTCTATAATCCGCCCGCTAGCAATGAAACTACTCGGTCGCAGGCAACCGGCAAAAAGGGTGAGCTTCAACAGGCAGACCCATGGTGCCCAGCTTCAGGAGATACTAACGTGTAACCGGCACAGCACCTTTCCAAACACCTCCGCCCACCGCCACGGAACTATCCCCAGAAGAAAGACTCCAGGCCCTTCTGCCAGCGAGCGAATCCTCCCCTGACGCGACTAACCTCTCTGTCGCGGTGGCCGCTGCTGCTCGACTCAACCCGTCCTTCCTCGACCCTCAACTCGTCAATGGCGATGCAACCCCTACATCTCCATCTGTTGCTGATAGCGCCGGAGCGGCGGGGGGGGGGGGGGCTGCCCATCCCATCCTCCAAACACCTCCGCCCACCGCCACGGAACTATCCCCAGAAGAAAGACTCCAGGCCCTTCTGCCAGCGAGCGAATCCTCCCCTGACGCGACTAACCTCTCTGTCGCGGTGGCCGCTGCTGCTCGACTCAACCCGTCCTTCCTCGACCCTCAACTCGTCAATGGCGATGCAACCCCTACATCTCCATCTGTTGCTGATAGCGCCGGAGCGGCGGTGGCCGACAGCACTCCTACCACGGCCGTCGATACTACCGCTATCCAACCTTGGGGAGAAATGACCTACTTTAGAGCTACATCGCCAGCTCACATTCTTACAGACAACCCCCCGGTGGCGCCTCTCCCGCTGATTCGAGGCGGCGTTCGCATGGACACAAGTTCAGGCGTACTTAATGGGCGATCCCGCAACTTCAGATCAAAGTTCACCCCTGCCAGACGTCAAGAAGTCAAGGAGGTTCGCAAGGTAGGGGCTTGTATCCGATGCCGTATTCTCCGCAAGATCTGCAGCAAAGGCACGCCGTGCGACACCTGCCGCAAAGTCCTTTCCCCTCGCGTTTGGATGACGGGCTGCGTTCGCTCACGCTTACACGAGCAACTGGATCTCTACTCTGCCGGAGTCCAAGTCGTCTTATCCCAAAACCGCATCAACATGCTCAAGGAGCAACTACACCTGGTAAATGACGGCGCCGTAGTCGAAGTGTCCCACTTTGCAGAAACCAACAAGACCATTGTTCTAGCCGCCGCCGCGGCCTTATTAGAGCCTATCCAGCAAGAAGGCGTCACACCTGAGGCCCAGGAATTCCTTCACAAAGTCATCATGATTGATCAAGACAAGGACGACGTGCCCGGAAAAGTAGAAAGCTACATGCGCGACGTCCTAGACCTCTTCATCGAGCGCGAGCCGTCCAAGTTCATGCGTGTCACCCTCGAAACTGCCAAGTCGCAACTTGCCGATAAGACGGACGAGCCGCTCAAAAGGGCCCTTGAGCTATGGGGGCTCGTGGAAAGCATCGACCGCGAGCGGCAGTGGAGCATCGTCGAAAAGCCCAGCGCCGACTCCGAACACGGGCGTCCCATCAAGGAGGAAAACGAAAGCGACGCAGACATCTACACCATGATGTGCATGCAGCTCAACGCCGCGGCGGAGCGCAAGGCAAATAGCACCTCCAAGGCTCTGCTGAACCTCATGGATCGCCAGTTGGCAGACAGCAAAACCAGGGTCGGCTTCAAAATTTACCTAGCGGCCTTGATATTCCTCAACTGCGTCGAGAAGTCGACGTGGGCGTTCAAGGCCTGGGAACAAGACCATCTTCGTCCCGGCTGGCCGCTCGAGCGCGACCCAAGCGTCTTCACCCAGCAGGGCGGCAACTTGGCCGGTCTGATCAAGATGCTCCTGGCGATACGCAAGGCGCTGCCGCAGACGTGTCGCGGCGCGGACGGCAAGCTGGCCACGCAGGACCAGGATACTGTCGTCGTCAAGTATTTCCAGGACCTGGACATGGAGTGTAGGCATTCACCACCACCCCCACAACTTGGCCAACCCTTCATTCCAGCTAATGACTCTTCCTTGTTCTTTGACAGATGACACTATTGAAGCTCGCCAGCGCGGCTCGCAGTTCTCCCCGGCGGACTCGCGCTCCCTCGAACTGATGTTCTGCTCGCACTTGCTGCTCCCTAATGCGCCGGCGTGATTGGACGAGTTGCAGGCTTTGACAATCTTATGCGTTAACGGATAATGAATGGATGGATCATGTAGAGATACCTTTTTCTGGCGTTGGGGTGATTTTCGGATCGGGGTAGATAAAACAAATGATGCGCGAGCTTTGTTTACTTGCTTTTTGTGGTGGTGAGCCATGTTTCAGACTAGGAGGTAATATGGCTGCATACCTACCCAGGTAGGGAGCTAGGAGCTACTTTTTCAGATACTGTAACTGTTTACTAAACTGGCGAGAATCCTTGTGACTGAAATGCCTTGAAAAATTGATATTCATGCAAATGCTGACTGTCAGTTTCAATACGCTACATCATCTTGTTCCATACACTCAGGCCTGCTCCTTGCTCGACGCGGCTCCGGGGTCAACCTTTGGCCCCGATCGCTTTTGCTTCTTGAAACACGCAAACTCGGCCTTAGTCGCCTCCCTCAGCTTCTTCAGGATGCTCCTCATCTCAGGTAACTCGCTTTGCAACCTAGCACGAGCGTCATTATCCGTACGCCCATCCAGCTCCTGATAAATTTGGCTCTGCAGCTCTGAGGCCTTATCAGTGGTATACTGGCTTAGCGTTTGGGCAACAAACTCTACGTCGAGGGTAGCCTGCATAAGAGCCTCAAGTGAGTAGCGGGGACGTTTGCGGAACGCATCCAGTAGTTGGAGGGACGTCTGCTCGAGCAAGAATGATAATACTTGGGAGGTGAGTGAGGGTGCAGTGGTGGACACCTGGGAGTGCACGAGGACGAGGGCAAGGAGAGCTTCGTAGATGTAGGGTTTTGCGGTGGATGGGCGGGTATTCACCGGCGGTTCCCAGTCGGCGAGGGAGAGACCTGCAGATATGATCGCATGGAGGGTCTCGATAGATTGTTTGGTGTATGATTGGAAGAGGCGGGCGTCGATCTGGCCGAGGACGTCGCGGATGGTTTTGGATTCGTCGGTGAGTTTGACGGAGAAGGCATTTTCAAACTGCGAATTGAGGCTGGGGACGACTTGGGAGCGGAGGGCTTGGAGATTGCTGAGAGTTAGGAGCATGCGAATGTTCTGTTGTCTGTGGTCAACAAAAAGAGGTGATTTACAGCGGGTGTGTGGTTTGAGACTTACTCGATCACCAGCGTCCAGGATACTCTTGCTGGGGATGGAATTAGGCACATATGCCGGTGAAACATCCTGCGAAACTGCCCATTCGTCGTCATTCTTCTTGAGCGATCGCTCCGCATTCTCTACCATCCCACTCAGCGCCTTATACAATGTGGTAACGTATTGACTGCGAACCATTTGCAATAGCTTTGTTGGTGGTGGTAGGACAATATTTTCTGCGCCAGGCTTCTCCATTGCTTCAGGAATGTAGAGGATTTTCTGCATCCCAGACAATACGGCCCCCTCAAACGCGGCGAAGATTGCGGGCATGCGCGTAACATCGCCAGATTCCGCAGGACGCTGCCAATCCTCAACGTACTTGATATTTTCGGCATCACGATTCCATGCAGCGCAAAGAGCAGTGACGCAACGATCTCTGGATAGACCAACAAGAGTCTTCAGCTGCTCAACAACCTGGTCGTCACCAGAGGAGACAGGGCTGAGGCTGGCCATTTCAGCAGCAGCTGACCCAACCAAAGATAACATTTTGGAGAGATACTCCACGCCGCTGATGGAATTCGACCACGGCGGCCAGAACGCAAGCTTTTCCCACGACTCTCCCCTTTTGGGTGAAGGGGGCGGGGGGTTGTTGGAGTCAAAATTGAATCTAGGGTCGCGCAGCGAAGTCGGCGACAATGCGTTGTTGACACCGCCTGCAGAAGCGGGAGACATCGGCGATAGAAGTGGAGGCGAGAACAATAGCGAAATATCTTCAGGTGGAATCTCGACAAAGAACGCGTGGACGTGTTCTCGCAAAAGTTCAACCAATTCGACCATTCCCTTTTCCAAGTCACCCACAGCCTGCGGTGAAAGCTGATGCTGGCTTCGGGACTCTCCATTGTATCCCACTGGGAGAGACTGTTGTGTTTTGCCATTAATGAAACCTTGAGCAGTCTGCCAAAACTCTACTACTTCTCCCAGAATGCCTTGTGACGAGATGAGACCGGCCAAAAAAGCAAGCATCTTGTCCCAGAGTTCAATGACGTCGGTGGAATCCGACGATGGAATCTTGCCTTCAATGGATTGACGACCTAGCGTTCGCAAGTACGAGGCCAAGATTTGAGGTGCCGGTTTCTCGTTGTTAGCGAGTCTGCGTCGAAGAACCTCGATTTCGACTTTGGACCGATCGGCTGAACCTTGAATCTTGCTTCGTAAGTGATCATGCCTGCTTTGAAGCCAGACCCAGATGGGATTGTCTTCAACACCCAGCTCGAGCAACAGTCCAATCAGCTCCATGTGCTGATCCTGCTGCCTACCACCCATGCTTTCTGATCTTGAGAAGTGTAGCGACCCCAACTTCTTCCATATATCCTTCTTGAAAGCTTGTACCTGCTGATCCACGTCATTCCACATACGTCCCGTAAGAACCAACTTGTATAATTTCTTGTCACTTGGCGACCTCCCATTGAGCTCTCTAGACAGCTGTTTTGCTTCGTCGGCAAACCTTCTCGCTCGGTTATAGCTCTCCACCAGGGTGTCATAGTCTTTGCGCTTAATACTGTCCGCTACAGTTGCACTCAATTCGACGAGATCCCTAAAATCATCCAAGCAGGCTAAGACGTTGCGCAAGTGTTTCTCCTTTTCACGACCACCGAGCGCAGGACCCCAAACATCTTCTGCCTTGGCAGATACATCTAGGAGTGGCACCTTGATACCCATGACACCGTATTCGCTTTCCTTGATCAAGGCATTTTTTTTCCGGTTGTCTGGCATGGGAGGAGAGAGAGGGTTATTGAGGCCCATGCCGGGACCGCTAGCACTGCTGCGTCCAACGCTTGGACGACTGACATGGCGTGAATGGCGGCCGGATTGTCGTTGCTGGACCGGGTCGACGCCGCGATACTTCATTTCCTTGTAGACATTGTCAATGGTTGCCTTTGCTTTCACGAAACGCTCAAAGTTGCTTTCGACAAGGACTTTGAGCGATGCTGACTTCTGATCTATCGATTGCGACAGAACATCGAGACCTTGCAACAAGGTATTGGTATCGGCATTCGAGTGCATTTGAGAGAGAAACAGGGCCGGGGAGAAGGTGGTGGAAGAAAGCATGAATCGGTTTCCTAGCGACTGATTAGCATTAGGGTTATATCTTATGGTTGGATGGTAGCTACGAGCACGCACTCAGTCGGGCATCGTCCTGTACCGGCAGGCCCAGCTGCTGCAACGACCTCACAACGCTGTCCGAGGTTCCTAAGGGGTCTGGCTCATCCTTTTGTACTAGATTGCCTATTCCACCTTGTCCATTTTCCCCAACAAAGCTTCTCCGGGCCCCAAAGGCCGATTCGAGGGCTTCGTAACGCGACTTTCGCCGATCTTTCTTCGCGCCGTGGTCATCTTCGGCGGATTCCTCCTCGGCATCCTTCTCTGCGGGCCATTTCTCGGGGTAAGGAGTGGGGAGCTGGTAGAATTCGAGCACTTTTCGTTCGTAATCAGCCATGATGGGCGTTCAGGAGACTGAAATGCTATTCGTAGGACTGCATGCTATCAACGGAATAAAAGTTGAGTAGGTGCAGAAAAATTGATCGGGAGTCTAAGTTCTCCTCTGATAGCTAGCACGACAAGATTAGGCTTTACGGCCACCTTCCCCGATTTTGGGAAAGTGCGTTCAGGAATAGGTGACGTCGGCATGAAGTGGCTAGCAGCCGCTGAAACACTCAGCCACAGAAGGCTGCCCTGATGGTCATGCGCCACAAATGATCGGCGGCTGACTGTGGACTCGTTGACCAGCAGCCTCGTCCGGGTCACCTCAATCGGCCACCTTCGGGCTCGGTGTGCTACCACGCATTTCCGACGGCTCCGAGCCGCTGGACCGACCAAACATCCGGCATGGCGAGGGAAAAAACACAGTGCAAAATGGATCAACGCCACAGGTTCTTTCTTCAAGCTTGCACATGGTGTGGCTAGTGTCTCCATTGTTGGATTCTCACCCGGCCTGCGATTTGTCAGTTCCTCACCCGGCCCTTGCATCGGTTGCTGGGGCGCAGAGCGTGGCATGTTACATTGATTCATAGGCCTGTAGACACTGGGGTACTCCGTTGTGCCCGCAGAGTACTCCGTAATTCGGCCGCAAAAACCCACGCGCAAGCCACACTTCGATCCGCTCCTTATCGACGGCTTCCCGAATTTGTCCACTCCCAAAAGTTTCTACGCCTTGGGGCGTTCCGACCTTGCCTTTGTTCCCTCCATATCTGCTCTGGCACCAGTGTCGCTTTGCTGCTTGCTTTTTCTCTTGGGACCCTATTGCTCACGTTATATTGCATCAAGATGCTGGCCATCCGAGCTATCTCTCGCCCTGCCGTCTCCAGGCAATGCCTGCGCGCTGCTCCCCGCGCTTCTTGGGCACTTGCTGTACGGACATCCCGAAGCTTGCTCGTTTGGATTTTCTTACTGACGACTGACTGCGCAGCGTTGCTACTCGACTGCTGGCGAGCGTGTCGCTAAGTACGAGGGGACAAAGGATGCCCAGGTACGTGTGTTTGATTTTTGATTTCGTTGTTTTGGTCAGATGTGTGTGACGTGGTGCTTCAGGTGTCCCACGATGCCTGCAGGTCGGGTAAATGCACTCAGGAAAACAACCATTTGTCTCGTATCACTAAGCAATATACTCTGAGGCTAACGGTAATTTTGCAGGGCAACTATCTGGTCAGCTTGATCGAGGGTGATGGCATTGGCCCCGAGATCGCCGTGTCCGTCAAGGACATCTTCGCCGCTGCCAAGGTTCGTCGCAACCACGGTACTTTTCGCCAACGCACAGTAGCCTTCAGTTGCTCGTTGCTAATACGCAGGCTCTTTATTTTAGACGCCCATTGCATGGGAATCTTGTGACGTCACCCCTATCCTAAAGGACGGCAAGACCGCTATCCCCGACGCTGCCATTGAGAACATCAAGAAGAACAAGATTGCTCTCAAGGGCCCTCTTGCTGTAGGCGATTGCTTCTTTTCCTTCTAGCGACCAATTGATTGCGAAGTGAACAAGTCGAGACTGATTAATTGGCTGTAGACCCCTGTTGGCAAGGGCCACGTCTCTCTTAACCTCACCCTCCGCCGAACTTTCAACCTCTTTGCCAACTTGCGACCTTGCCGCTCCGTCGCCGGCTTCAAGACCCCGTACGACAACGTTGACACTGTCCTGATCCGAGAGAACACTGAGGGTGAATACTCGGGCATTGAGCACGTCGTCGTTGACGGTGTTGTTCAGAGCATCAAGCTCATCACGCGCGAGGCTTCCGAGCGTGTCCTCCGATTCGCTTTCCAGCACGCCCAGTCCATTGGCCGCACCAAGGTCCGCGTCGTCCACAAGGCTACCATTATGAAGATGTCCGACGGCCTCTTCCTGAATGTTGGCAAGGAGGTTGCCAAGGACTTCCCGGGCATTGAGTTTGATGCTGAGCTCCTCGACAACACCTGCCTCAAGATGGTCACTGACCCTCTCCCTTACAACGACAAGGTCCTCGTCATGCCGAACCTGTACGGTGACATTTTATCCGACATGTGCGCCGGTCTGATTGGTGGTTTGGGTCTCACTCCCTCCGGCAACATCGGTGACGAGTGCTCCATCTTCGAAGCTGTCCATGGTTCCGCTCCCGATATTGCCGGCAAGGCTCTGGCTAACCCTACCGCCCTACTGCTCAGCTCCATCATGATGCTGCGACACATGGGTCTTACCGAGCACGCCGCTCGCATTGAGAAGGCCATCTTCGACACCCTCGCTGAAGGCAAGGCCCTGACTGGCGACTTGGGTGGCAAGGCCAAGACTCACGAGTACGCTGCCGCCATTATTGAGAAGCTGTAAACGGATCATCTCCAGCCTTCCGACCCATGTCACAACAATTATACATTTTTAGATACCTATGACCTCGACATCACATCATTGCATGGCCATGAACAAAGATCAATGCGTCTGTTCATTGGCCACAACAACCGATATCTACCGACACCCGCGCTGTTAAGTTTTGAAGACTCCAGGGTAGTGTTTATGTAGAGTGTACCAAGAAAGAGCCGGGCAACATGCGGCAACGGCGCCATGAATTGAATTTATTTGAGTTGGACCTGTGCATTCCTACCAGGATATGTGACCCTTGGTGGTGTAGCCGTAGTTGTATTTGTCAATTTAGCGACCTCCACAATCGTACATGGACTGTTGGTCAGGGCTACTGAGAGGCGGTCGTTAATGATGGTAAGATGTATTTCTATAGCTGTCTGTCACGTAAATCACACAATTTCGGGGCCACGACGCGATAAGTTGTGATGGGCGCTAACGGCAGATTTCGGATGAAGACTTACAGTGGCCTGCCAGGCAGCAGAGGCGATGCCTCCTGTTATGTATCGTTCGATTACCTATTTTATGAGTCACTCCATGATGCCAGTTTCGCAATCATCCCATTCCACGAAGAAGGCGCCTGATTCCGGGTGTTGGTGGACGATGGACAGAGGGCTGACAGGGGGGCGATTATCATGATGCTGTATAAAATTACGAGCAGTTACCTCTGCCAGGGTTCGCCCATTAACCCCAAGATCATTCGACACGAGAGGATATTTTGGACTCACCTCTCCATATTTTTCAACAGAGGGTCTGAGAATTACTTGGGGAGGGGATCAAGGGAGGCACGTAAGCGTTGGTGGATTCGAATATATGCATGTACGTCGCAAGACGCACTTCCCAAGGAGCCATGTTGATATTCTGCATAGACATCAGCTGTCTGGTAAGATATCCCAAACGCAACCTACTCTACGCCCGTAAAGCTCCTCATATGCCCACAGGTGATTTTATCCTCATCACATTTGCTACCAGTGCAAGGACACCAGTGCAAGCCATCTAGCTGCCTATCTCATAGCAAAACAGGGGCTACCATGCTCTTTAAAGAAGTAGCTGACTAGTACCATGTCTTCAAAGACGTATCGTTCTTCGGCTCCTATCCGCCCCGTGAACCAAGACGCTACAACATCAAAAGCCAGCGACCACAACACAATTATACATCGAAACTGGTTACATGCCATTCAATATTCAACAAAAATGAAGCAAATATAAATAAAGAAAAATTGGCATGCACAAAAGCCCCATCCAATCATATCAACCCAGTCAGTCTGCCTACAGATTGGCCTTAATCTTCTTCTGGTAGTTGCCATTCTTAACCGCCAACTGGGCCTCCCACAACATGGCGCCCCCAAAGTTGGGCAGGTTCATAGCCTTGACCTGGTTGACGGCCCTGTTGAGCGTAGCGGCATCGACGTAGCCCTCGTCGCCGTCAGCGCCGCTCGCCAGCGCCCCAATGTACAGCTGGACGCCGCTCCCAATGCCCTTGGACCAGTTCTTGACGGCCTTGGCGAACCCTCTTTGGGCAATGTTGCAGTTGCCGTTGTTGTAGAACTGCACCTGCACCCAGTCGAGGAGCTGGCAGACGTCAAGGGGCTCGGATTGGTCGGGGTAGGGGCACTGGGGGGCAGCGGTGATGTAGTATTTTTTAGATGTGTCCTTTTGGAAGTTGGCTTTGAACTGTTTGGTCATGGCGAGGTAACCTGTTCCGTCGTTTGTTTCATTATCTGGTGGGTGTTAGTGTGCTGGTTGTGATGGAGATGTGGCTCGGGGGGGGGGGGGGGGGGGGGGGGGGGGGGGGTGGGGC